GCCACGACGACTTCAAAAATGTGTGTTATGACTTCAAAAATCTCAGCTCTGTGTTAATGCAAAACGATGCAAAACAGTTGCAGATGCCCCGATGCAAAACAGTTTGTCTAGTATGGAAAGTACTTAGTACAAAGTAAAATTTAGAAAGTAAATATTGGTAATAATACAGTTTAATATGTATAATCTCACGGATCGTTTGGAACCTCTGGGTCTGCAAAGGGACTTTGGTTCCCTTTGTATTTCCTACCGTATGTTCCATGGGGAGTGTGCTCTGAGGAATTGTTTGAGATGATAACATCATCTCGTTTTTACCATGGCACCGCCACTGAAGTAGAGTTCATCCATATTACCTGGAGCCACTGCATTCATCCACAGGCATATTTTTTGCCACGTACAATCCGGCTTTGGAAAGAGTTCCCCTCCACGGTGTTTCTCGTGCGCTATGACGTATCCTTCTTCAAACGAGGCTTGTGGAGAGTACTTAACTGTAGACAGCGGCTTGGCTCTGCTCCTGGCATTGCTGAAGTCCATTGGCGACGGTAACCGCTCACCATTAGGTGGACCGTGTATGCTCGTCTGCCTACAAGGGTAATAAAAATATACTAGAGGTCCCGCGGTAGTCGAAATTCGACTATAATTAATTGGAATTGTAAGTTTGTACATTATTATTGTATTTTATACTTCTATAATCATAAATTTCGCCAAGACTACTCTATAAAAAATATTAACAAAGACAAACAATATTTAATCTCAATTTGACAATAGACGTCAAGAACTAAAGTTTAACAATAAATAGTATGCACGCGTGTGTGCGTCAAATACATGGTATGTAGTGTGTGTAATGTTTTCTTTATTGATTTAATGTATCTTTTATGCACTATTTAAAAAAAATATTAGCATTGTGCACTTCTTCTCTATATTCTCTATAAGTGTGGAAAATTTCAAACTCCTCCGTCCGCGCAATTTTCGTAAAAAGGGATACAAAGTTTTTGCTTCACGTATTAATATATAGATATAATAATAATACGTTAAGTGGTTACCGGAGTCCGTCAATAAAGTAAATGCCACCACCCACCTTCGGACTTGTGTTATCAGTCTCATTTTATAGTAATAAACTGTAGTTGCCATCTCAAGCTGAAGCGCATTACTGCTTCACGGCAGAAATAGTCTGGGCGTTTTGTTAGCCTACACGTGTAGGTGCCACCACTTTACCTACTTCGGCTAGCTACTAGCTTCGCTTTGAGGGGTCAAGGTCACAGCGGATTTACTGTCACCTAGTTCTAAGCCAGTGGTCGGCAACCTTGTCAACCAAAAGAGCCAAATATAGATAACACATATATGAATTTGATTCAATGAGGCATTTTTTTAACAAATATGTATATTTGTAGCCTTGTATGTCGAAAAATATTTAAATTAGTGTTTTACAAGGCAAGATAATAAGTAAGTGTTCCGTTCCTAAACACTAAACATTTCGCGCAAAGCGCTGAAACTGCGATGCTTTAAGACAAATATTTTTTGTATGGAAACTAGCGACATCTCGTAGCGGATGCCCCTAAACTTATATGTTGTTAAAGTTAAGGCATTTTATGATTGTATAACTTGAAGTCGTCGTGGCCTAACGAATAGGACGTCCGGTGCATTCGTGTTGAAGCGATGCAACGGTGTTCGAATCCCGCACAGGCGGGTACCAATTTTTCTAATGAAATACGTACTCAACAAATGTTCACGATTGACTTCCACGGTGAAGGAATAACATCGTGTAATAAAAATGAAACCCGCAAAATTATAATTTGCGTAATTACTGGTGGTAGGACCTCTTGTGAGTCCGCGCGGGTGGGTACCACCACCCTGCCTATTTCTGCCGTGAAGCAGTAATGCGTTTCGNCAAATGTTCACGATTGACTTCCACGGTGAAGGAATAACATCGTGTAATAAAAATGAAACCCGCAAAATTATAATTTGCGTAATTACTGGTGGTAGGACCTCTTGTGAGTCCGCGCGGGTGGGTACCACCACCCTGCCTATTTCTGCCGTGAAGCAGTAATGCGTTTCGGTTTGAAGGGTGGGGCAGCCGTTGTAACTATATATGAGACCTTAGAACTTGTATCTCAAGGTGGGTGGCGCATTTACGTTGTGGATGTCTCCAGCAACCACTTAACACCAGGTGGGCTGTGAGCTCGTCCACATATCTAAGTAATAAAAAATAAAAAAAAAAAAACAGAAAGTAAAAAATTAGTAAATCATACAAATATTTATTTGTTATAGACAAATTGATTAAGTTTTATCAATTTGTGGCTTCTGAAAATTTACAAAATCCGTCATTAAAAATAGAATATAGGATAGGTAATATGTTATTGCCGTCTACAGGAGCAGTGAAAACCTAATCGAAGTGAAGCCATCTAGTGGCCGACGCCCTTAAACATTTTTGTTGAGTGCTTGAGTTGCTTATCTGTAACTAATTTATGTGTATTATCTATGATTTCACGAATGAGCCTTAGCCGAGGAAACAAAAAAATATTAATTATAATCCTGTTTTTTGTCGGGAGAATATCACATTTGTATTTACACGACCTATTTTACGGTTCAAGGTTTTATCGCGTGTATGCAGAGAGAGCACAGTTCTGTTGTAGCGATAGTGTTAATATCGTTAGCGCAATTATCTGTTTAGTTTCGTTTTTTTAATGTTCTATGCGTCTAGATTATATTATTTCATTATTGTTTTTTAAAGTTTTTTTTTTATTAAATTTGTTTTCGTAATTACCGGGCGCGCGAGACAACGCAATTCGGCGAGGCTTGAGTAAAAAAAAACCGATGTTTTTTTTTTTAATTTTTGTGTGTTTTTAGTGTGTTTTTACCTCAAATCGACTATTTGGCTAGTTGATGTTTTTTTTTTTTAATTCGTTTAAAAACTGATGTTTTTCATGTGGTAGGAGCTATTTCATCAATATTTATTTAGTTTAGTAGTTTCTGAGTATATCAGAGGAAGTGTGAAAGTAGCCCCGGTACGTAAGATGTATGGAAATCTTAGTGCAAGGTAGAGAGGGAAGAGGTTGACCGAAGAAGACGTGGATGGAGTGTGTGAATGACGATAAGAGAGAGAGGAGTGAGTGTTGAGATGACGGCTGATAGAAGAGAATGGAAGGGAAAAATTAGCTGTGCCGACCCCACCTAATGGGAGAAGGTGGAGAAAAAGAAGAGTAGTTTTTGAGTTAAACCCTATTGAGACCCATTCTTACTTATTGCTCAGAGATATGGGTATTCAGGAAAAAGTATGAGAATCGTCTGCTTGTGTTCGAGTGAAAGATCCGAAGATCGGTGCTGTGCAGGAAAACGATGTATGGAGGACGAGCGAATAATGACGAGTTCTATGATATTTATAAAGACCCTAATATCACAAAAACTATAAAAATTGGTCGCCTGCCATGGGCAGGACGTGTAGTAGATAGAGGAAACCAGAATGCCAAGACAACTGTCATATGGCAAACCATAGGGCCGCAGAAGACGTGGCAGGCCCAAACTCCGATGGTTAGAAGGCGTAGAGTAAGACCTTAAAGTTGTTGATGTCAAGAATTGGAAGGAGAAGGTCCTGACCAGGCTAAGACCTATCCTAAGCGTAAAGCCTAAGATAATGATGAGTTTTTGAGTTAAATAATGAATTAAATATTAATATTGACTTACGACTCTATTGAGGAACTCTTCCTCGTAATCGATGAGTTCGACAAGGACGGTGACTTGTGCTTGAGAGGCCTAAAAGCACCTAGAGTGAAGAAGACAGAATCCGACAAGACATGTTTCGGGCGATGGCGGTTTTGCGTTGCCTCGTCGCCTGTGTCGAAATTAGCGGCGGCGGCAGGATATGAGGCTAATTGTGTCGCGCCGCTTTGTCGAAGTAGCGTTTTATAGATATCGTATCGTCAATATGCCGATACCTAGACACAAGAGGTCGAAGTTGATAGAACTGTGATATTAAGAGCTTATCAAACTATAAACATATCGCTTCATTTTAAGAGAGATAAAATGCTGTCTTTTAAATGATAAACTTTAATCTGTACATTGGTATCGATTTTATTAGATAGATTTTTAAATATTACGTAAATATATTTATAATATTTATGTATAACGACATTTTCAAATGTAATGTTTGTATAAATTTCAAAACGTCCGGTCAGCTTGAAAAATGTGCGCACTTATCAAGAACCAATGACGAAACAATTCTCTATATATAATATTTCGTCTGCGCGTGTGTTTCACGCTGAGCCCATAGACATCTACAACGTAAATGCCGCCACCTATCTTGAGACGTGAGTTCTAAGGTCCCAGTTTTTACAGTACAACGGCTCTGCCCCGCCCTTCAAAACGAAACGGCATTAACGCTGTTGATGTCTATGGGCTTCACTAGGTGGGACGCGAGGTCGTGAGGTCATGTGTATGGTATACCGGTCGTTTCTCATCCGAACGCAACGCTGCCTCTCTGAAGAGTTCTTTGCTAAGTTTCTGGCCGGATCTTATTAGGGGGTCGCGGTTGCGATCCGGTGGTAAATTCTGCGAAGCACTGCTCTTGCTAGGTCTAGTGTGAGATAGTCCCCTCAGCCAAGCCCTGGGTGTTCTTCGACTAGTCAAGATGAGGCCGGAATAGCCCCACGAGCCTAATGACAGATAAGCAGCTAAAAAAACGTAATATAATCATAATACATGTTTGAGTTTTTGTAATGTGTTTATTTTCAACCATTCTATTTTTATTACAGGTCTATTTTCCTTCCTGTTGCCCTTTCCTTAATTCAGTAACATTCCAGAAAAAAAACTATAATAAATATTTGTTGCAATGAAAATTTCATTCCATTTTAAATTCCCTTTCAAAAATTCGTAGATAATACATATTAATAATTATAGTCATTAAAAATAAAAGCACCAAATTATTGATCGTGAATGTAAAATGATTCTAAAATAGTTTTTAATAATATTGTAATTAATTTATATAAAAATTAAATATAAATATCATATGAATGAACAATTAAAATGTCTAAATATAGTAATGATTGAAAATGCACAACGCAATTAATTGTAATTAATTATATGTAACTAAGTAAATTAAATTGAATATTTGAAAACTTGATAAATGATTAATTGAATTAAAAACAAACCAAAGAATTAAATTAAGGTTAGGTGACCATTAAAAAAAAAAAAAAACTACACGCTACATTAGAACTTTTCCTTCATCGGCTTATTTTCATTATGTGGTGACTGTTCTTGTCATGATGAGTTCCTCTCCCGTCGTTGAGCATTCCTCCCCTTCCACCACCCCCTCGTCACCAGCTCTGAGGCCCGACAGCGGACACTTTCACTCCTCAACACCAAACTACACCGGCAGGGTAAGTGGAAGAACAATGTATGTTTTTTTACACGCGACTAATTAGCTAGTTCTATATATCAACTGCATAGTCTAAAACAAAGTCGCTTTCTCTGTCCCTATATCCCTATGTATGCTTAAATCATTAAAACTACGCAACGGATTTTGATGCGGTTTTTTTTTATAGTGAGTGGAGTGATTGAAGAGGAAGGTTTATATGTATAATAACATCCATTAAATATAGGAGAAATCAATAATAAATTATAGTTTCGGAAGCGAAGCGAGGGCGGGTCGCTAGTGTGCATATATTTAAATCTAATTGTGCTTAGTGCGAGTTTTTTCACGTTCTCGATAGCGTAAAAGCTAATTCAAAATTGTGTGGAGTTGGAACAGCGCCCCTAGCAGCAAACGAACATATTTGGGGGATAATGACAAAGGGAAGATCTTTCACCGAACGGGTGAGATTGCTCGGTAGACCGACGGTCCGAATGTTGTCGTTCAGAACTTGTACATACACAAACTCAGCTTGGAAATGTCGTTAGAGCCGGGTTTTCTCAGCCTCTCAGTTAGGTCTTCTTTGGAGGCGCTCGGGCAGTTTTTATTAAACCACATCCCTCCTGGCTGAGCCTTTGTTCGCCAATTAGTCCTGGTGAAACTGGAAAGGCGATTGGGGTATCAGTATTCGTTTCTTCCTAAAAAAATGGTCTTAGTGTGATTCAAATTCACAAGTCCAATATTTTTATGTTGTGTAGTAGCTACCGCCACAGGTACTTACATATCAAGCTAATACAAAAGCCTGTTAAAAAAAGTCCCACACATAATACCTATTCTCGCAATTAGCCTTGACCGTACTGTAACATGCTACGTTCATTTCACTATATGTATGGTCCTAGGGTACTTGGCCGGTACATAGGGTCCTCGTAAATTGTCTCCACTTCACCCGGTCTTGCGCTTTTTCCTTAAAATCGCTCCAGGTCAGGCCGGTATTCCTCACGGGGCGTTGCTATGTGTGTACAGGGAGACCAGGTCTTCTGCCACATTAATTATAAACACTATTATTTAGTATACGCCAGGGTTGCGGGTAGACTCAGTCGACCAGCACTTGGAGTAGGATTTATAGGTCCGTCCGTCACATGCTCTGTGGACCATCTGATAATCTGGTGCTAGCGGTGCAGGAGTGCGTTGTTTTGCGACTCGCCATGACAGGTCGCGAGGGAGATACTGGTGGTAGGACCTCTTGTGAGTCCGCGTGGGTTGGTACCACCGCCCTGCCTATTTCTGCCGTGAAGCAGTAATGCGTTTCGGTTTGAAGGGTGGGGCAGCCGTTGTAACTATACTGAGGTCTTAGAACTTATATCTCAAGATGGGTGGCGCATTTACGTTGTAGATGTCTATGGGCTCCAGTAACCATTTAACACCAGGTGGGCTGTGAGCTCGTCCACCCATCTAAGCAATAAAAAAAAAGATCAAAATTAGGACGCGACCATTAGATGAAGCGACGCGGATTCATCGACCCTGACCCAATTAAATTCTTGACAAAGACGGTATAATAGTTTCTTTACTTGTGCGCATCGTAGTCCCAATCGAAACCACTTTCGCTGTTGCTGTTATCACTTCCGCTACCTGGTTTTTTTTCGCGTTTTGTATTGTTATGTGCGAAATGAATATTCGAGGTTCGAGAAAATTTTACATTCCTCTCATTATCTTGAACCCAAAATTTTTGAAGGTATGAATTGTACACGTGTTTTTATTTTATTTTATTCAGAAGCATCAAAATCCACCGTTGAACGTCGTGCTCCCGTCAGCGGCGCCGACAACAACGCCCATATACGGTGAGTGCGCTCTTTGTCTAGTCGCACAAGGTATGGTTACGCCGGTAAGAGTAACGCCATCTATCGCCGAATAGCCGAATGAATATCGAAGGATCTAGTAGCATCTAGAACGCTCGAGAAGTACAACGCCATCTATTGCCATTTATCGGAAACACATAATAAGTCGAGCTGTTTCGGAGTCAATGTGGGGTCTAGTATTACAAAATTATTGTTACGCGCTGGGGTTCAGGATAAATAACTGTTCCACCTAAGTACAACTTAAAACTGTATTAGCACTTAAAACACTTCACAAACAGGGCGAATCGTTTAGATATGTGTTTCCGCTATTTGATAATAGATGACGTTACACTTCTCGAGCGCTCTCAATATTACTAGTTATTTTTATATTGTTATTCGTTTCTGCTATTCGACGACAGGTGGCGTTAATCTTAGCGACGTAACAGTAATATGTTGGTCGGGTATTGACGTATGTCTATTAAGGCAATAACAAAAGCTTCATTCGAAATTTTTTTAGGCGAACCAACTTTGACTCCGCCGCCGAGGTCACCCGGTGCGGCCGCCGTGACTCCAGCCTCGGGAGATTCGAGGGCCCATCCACCGGACGGAACCTCCTCGGATAAGGTAACCCTGTTGATTCTGTCTTATTGTCGCGATTGATCTCGACGAGACTTTTTGGCGGAAACGCGACGAGCAAAGTTGTGTGATTTGTTTTATCTTGTCTATTTAGTGTTTCTTCAGGTTTAGATGTGTAATAACGGCGGTTTATGAACTGTTTAAATATCTCTGAAAGTGCACAAGTGTGGGAAAATTTAAAAAAGCCGCTGGACGTAACTTCTCGGCATCCTCCAAAAAGTTCACTAAAAAAATCTCAGTAAATGACCACTATTTTACTGAGATTATATTTCAACCCATTTCATTTAATTTCATCCCAGTTGATTAATGTCGAAAATTAATCATCTTTCTTTCATTTCACTTCATTTTATATTTTTTTCATAAAAATAAGAATATGAATTAAAATAAGACATGACCTAAAAGTCTTAGTAACCAGGTCATAAAACCGCTTTAAAAAAATAAGATCCAGACGACGGAGTAATGAACGATCGCTGTAGCAGTAGACATGTCGTTTGGGTTCCTCCCGATCCACCCTGGTCCCTACGGGTCGGGTATGTGGTTTCCGGCCGCCACGATTAGAGGGTCATCGTGTCGCGCCGTCTTTGCGAAATGGCGTGCTGACGCAGTTTCCAAATACTTCGCAAATTTAGAATTGAAGTGGTTTGAAATTTTTAGGAGAACTAGTGGTCCCTCAGTAGTCGAAATTCGACCATAATTAATATCGAATTTCGACCATAATACTTCAAAAGAATTTATAAAAAGGGAAAATTGTTACCCGCCTCACAGTGGGTCGATTCTATGATTTTAGTGACTTAGGGACCAACTTTGTTTTTTTAGAATTTTTTTTATGTAGATAGATAGAGCTCGTTAATCTCAATAATAATTGTTTTGGGCAAAAATTACAAAAACTTTATAGTTTGGTCAGAAAAATGTGTTTTGTGATTTTTTTGTATGGAGCGGGTCACATTAAATTAAATTCCTGCTAAGTACCGCGAGGTCCCGCTTTGAAACTTTATTTTCCTTATACCTTGTCTAGTCTACTATCATTTGATGCTATGAACATGTGCATAAAGTTGCAACTCTGCCAAATAAATGGATCGAAAAAAATTAATAAATACATAGAATAAAAACCTTTATATTTTTTTTCGTAAGTGCTTTTAAGTTAAATTTGATATGGATTAGTAAGTAAAAGCACGTAATGATACCCATAATTACATAATACCTAACAACAATACATTTAGTAGGTCTCTAATTAAGCAATCTCTCTAATTATTAAGATAGTTAACATTATTTAATGAGGATAATTAGTTAAGTAGCCATTACTGGGTAGTAGAAAATATAGTAAACATTTGTTTGTCTCTGGAAGTATAAAGTGACCATGTTTATTATATACTAACTAGTGTTCGTTTATTCGTACTACTACTAACATCTCGTGATTGTCGTTGTGATCTTGCTGTTTCCGTTATAATTGATAATTTTGTTAACAATTTAGGATTATTTATGATTTTAAGAGAGCAACTACAGTCGCTGTCTGATAATAAAAAACTCTTTCAATTCCTACAAAATCAAATAAACGTGACCGAAGAGAAAAATGTTGAGCTCCAAAAATTCAGTACGCAATTTTGTTCAAATATAAGTGCAATATGGAAACGAAGTAGTCGCATGTTAGCACAGTTTATAAGAAAAAAATGTGATTGGTTAGAATGTGCAATAAACTGGCCCGAAGGAATGATACCTGAAGCTATCAACACTGCACATGAAAGGCTCGAGATTTCTAATACTGAAGATGTTGAAAATGTACCACCCTCAAATGTACTACAGAAGCCTCGACATCTATTTTTGCACCTCGAAAACCTTTTGAAGAATTGGGATCCAGGCAAAAACGAAGACGCATTGAACAAATTTACCAATCGCTTTCGTTATCCCCGGATGAAATGAAAGCTACTACAATTGCTAGTTTGAGAAACACTAGAAATGAAGATGTAGGAGAAATAATGAACCACTTGTCAAATCACCCCGAAGATCTAGAAAAAGTTAATGAGTATTTAATTACAAGTAAAGTGAAAAGTAGTACATATTCTCCCGATAAGGCAATATTAGTTTCACTTAAATTAAGTGGCAGTATATAAACCTAAGAGAAGCAGCAAGTGAAAATGGGTCTGATTTATACCCTTCTTAATATAAAATTAAGCAAGAAAAGACCAAATGTTATCCAGGGAAAGACGAGGTAATTATTACTGAAGAAGGAGCTGCTATTAAAATGCAAGCATTACTAAACTTGGCGCTATATAGGCTTTTAGATGTGATTACTTCGGATTTGGACTCTGCAAGAGAGCTACTGCTTATAAGCAAATAGGCTTTGATAGAGCCCCAGGTCAAAGTAATTATAAACAAAAAACTGAAACAGAGTTTGATGATTCATCTATTTTCATGGTCAGTCTAGTTCCTATAAGGCTTCAGAAATTTGATGGAACAATTGTTTGGGAAAACGACCTCATCAACTTTTTATTGCCGTCCAATAATGTTTAAATTTACAAAAGAAACGCAGTCAACAGTGACAATTATAAAAGCTAGCATAACAGAAGAAATAGAAAGACTTCAGCCATCAAAAATCAAACAAGTTGAAGTTAAGCATCAATTGCACATGATGATGATAGACGGCAAAATAACCTCATATTTTTCAGAAACATTTTCTGCTGTCTGTGATATTTGCAAAGCAAAACCGTCAGAGTTTTTTGGAGTGACTTGCTTATCAAAGAGAAAATAATGAAGAAATATTCCAGTATGGAATGCCATCTTTACATGCCTGGATAAGATGCATGGAGTGCTTACTTCATATCGGTAAATATAATTTTATTACTTCACAATTTTTTCATCGTATGTAGTTTCCTGTGAGATTATTTTTTATATGACACTTTTTTGTTTGCGTCTTATCGTTTGGACTTCAAGAAATGGGGTTGCAAGGGGGGATGACAAAGAAAAAATATCAATCAGAAAGAGCGCTATACAGCAAGCGTTTAAAAAGGAATGCGGTTTACTTATAGATGTTGTCAAGCAAGGAGTAGGAACAACCAATGATGGCAATACTGCCAGAAGATTTTTCAGGGATGCAGAAGAAACAGCCCGCATAACAGGAATACGTAAAGATTTAATAGAGAGGCTTCACGTGATTCTTCACTCTGTTGCATCTGGAGAGCGCGTTTCCAATTTTTCGGAATTTTTTAGATATACTGCAGAATTGTATGTTAATGTATATCCCTGGTATTATATATGCCTTCCAGTATCCATAAATTGTTGGCACATGGCAGTGATATATAATAATGAAGAACTTTGGTGCCATTCGTATAGGTAAACTCTCGGAAGAGGCAGCGGAAGCTCGCAATAAAGATTTTCGGAAATATACAGAGAGATGTTATTCAAGAATGAGAAGTAGAACGTCGACTAATGAGGATATTTTACACAATCTTCTTTCGTCTTCTGACCCAAAGATCGAAAGGTGAAACAAAATATATAATATTTAGAGAGATTGCATAATTAGAGACCTACTAAATGTATTGTTGTTAGGTATTATGTAATTATGGGTATCATTACGTGCTTTTACTTACTAATCCATATCAAATTTAACTTAAAAGCACTTACGAAAAAAAATATAAAGGTTTTTATTCTATGTATTTATTAATTTTTTTCGATCCATTTATTTGGCAGAGTTGCAACTTTATGCACATGTTCATAGCATCAAATGATAGTAGACTAGACAAGGTATAAGGAAAATAAAGTTTCAAAGCGGGACCTCGCGGTACTTAGCAGGAATTTAATTTAATGTGACCCGCTCCATACAAAAAAATCACAAAACACATTTTTCTGACCAAACTATAAAGTTTTTGTAATTTTTGCCCAAAACAATTATTATTGAGATTAACGAGCTCTATCTATCTACATAAAAAAAAATCAAAAAAAACAAAGTTGGTCCCTAAGTCACTAAAATCACAGTATCGACCCACTGTGCGCCTGCGGGATTCGAACACCGGTGCATCGCTACATACGAATGCACCGGACGTCTTATCCTTTAGGCCACGACGACTTCAAAGACTGCTGACGACTGCCTTAGTTAACCAATCATTTTAATATTAAGGAAACAGTCAACTTTAACTAATCTTAGTTAAGTACATAAATTGCAATGTTCCGCCGATATATGTATTTTTCTTTTTCTTAGTAGCATACTTCATTGCTGAAGGTCGTTTAATTTTTATTATATGTTTAGTTTTTATATTTATTACTAGCGGCCCGCTCTGGCTCCGTTCGGGTATTGACCAAAATGTCAACGAAGTTGCCGTTGTTTTATTTTTAGAACACTTATTGCGGCATAACTATAACGGTGAGAAATATGCTGTCGCGACACTTTTTCTAAATAATAATGTGCTCTACAAAGTCGTAGTACATTATTTTATTCTATCATCGATAGTTTTCGCATAGCACACGATGTAAAGAATATTTTAGGTAATTTTTTTACATCTTGGGTTACGTTATAGGAGTTTTAGTAAGGATCCCTAATTTTTTTCAAAAAAGATTATAGCCTATGTCACTCGGGAGTAGTATAGCTTCCAAACAGTGAAAGAATTTTTTAAATCGGTTCAGTAGTTTCGGAGCCTATTCAATACAAACAAACAAACAAACAAATCTTTCCTCTTTATGATATTAGTCTATACTAATATCATAAAGAGGAAAGATTTGTTCTAAGAAAAATCTATATTATGATATTATTAGTTTAATTATTTATTTAGCTTCAGTAAACTGCGACCGACATCAATGTCACATGCATACGTATTTATGTATACTGTTGTACAAAAGCGTATCGCATTCAAATGTGTATTACAATGCAAATACAACAGCAAATACAATGGAGTAATGACGCGACGCGCTTGTGGATGATATTAAAAACGTATCTGGTCGCGCGTATGACGCGTTTCTAGTATTATCGATTTATTTCTTCTTTTTTTTCCTTTACCTCTTCATTTTTTCTTAATTTTTTTTCTTAATTTCCTCATCTCTTCATTTCCTCATTTCCTCATTTCTTTATTTCTCTATTTCTTTATTTAGTAATATCCTCAAAGTGATCATCAATATCAAAGAAGAAGTACTTGACAAATGTCATCTCAATTGTGGATACGATTAGCAGTGCAATAGTTGACGTCTTAAAAAGAAAAAAATTATAAGGATTTTTGAATAAAAATACAATGAAATATTATTTATTAATTTGGAAATCCAGAATAATAATACATTTCACTAAGTAACAAAAATAGAAAATACACACACTTAATTAGAGAAAAAAATATTTTATAAACTAGCTGACCCGGCAGACTTCGTAGTGCCTCAATCGATAAACAAAAGACCTAAACTTTTGTATAAAATAAACTTAAAACAAACAAAAGGAATCCGTCCGACGCGACGGGGGGACACATGAAAGGAAAAACAAAATTGTTATTTTTATTTAATTCCGAGCATTTTCATTCATTTATCTACCTTTTAAACCTTCTCTGGACTTCCACAAATAATTCAAGACCAAAATTAGCCAAATCGGTCCAGTCGTTCTCGAGTTTTAGCAAGACTAACGAACAGCAATTCATTTTTATATATATAGATAAAACTTGATTTTGATTTGGTTATAAGTAATAAATAAATAACTTACATAATTAGTTCAGTTGGAACAGCGCCCCTAGCGGCAAACGTAGGAAACCGTTTGAGTTAACTTTTACGTTATCGAGAACGTTAAAAGACTCGCACTAAGAACACTGGTCGCTTCACAGTCTTCGGAGACCGCTGTAGGGGGCGTTTGTCGGCCGGCCAGCACGGCTCTCTCCAGGAAGGAGAGCTACAAGGCCCAGAGGCAGAACTATCGTCGTGAAAAGAAGAGAGCCGCCTCAGCTTTGTTGCACTCCATCGAGGATCCATCGGTCGTGGTCCTGGCTGATTGGCTAAAGGCGAGTATATTAAAGTGCCACTTATACAGATACGTTGTTCATGTGAAGCTTTCAGTTAGTGTCGCTAGTGAAGCTTTCAGCCAGAAGTCGGAGCTTTTGCATTTGAGTTCCGGTTGGGTTTTCGAATGGCGCTCGTAAAACAGAGATCCGTTTTAAGGTGAATCCCATTGTTTTTGTACAATGACGTCACAATTCAAGAACTGTGTACGTACACGAGTTGAATTTACGTCTCGTAAGTCTTGTTGGTTTTCTTCTTCTTCTCTTCAAGCATATGAGAAGAAGTCTTGCTGGTTTTAATGACCACGTAAGAGATGGCTCACGGCTCAACTGGCGTTGGATGGTTACCGGAGCTCATAGACATCTACAACGTAACTGCCGCTACTCACTTCGAGAGATGAGTTCTAAGGTCTCCGTTTTAACAGTGCAACGTTTGCTCCGCCCTTTAAATCAAAACGCAGTACTGCTTCACGACAGAAACAGGCAGGGCGGCGGTGCCTACCCGTGCGGACTCACAAGAAATCCTACCGTTAAGTAATGACAGATATTTTCGACAGGTACGAGGCTCGCTCAAATCTTGGACCAAACTATGGTGCGTTCTGAAGCCGGGTCTGCTCTTGCTGTATAAGAGCCCGAAGGCGAAGGTAATGTGGTATTTGTTTTAATGCTTTCGATTGAGGTTCTTTATAACCCATATGAAGAGGTTGATGTCTCAATTCTGTTGTGTGGAGGCCGTCCCGTCTTCTGCGAACGCTGTTCAAATAAACCGGATGAAGGTACCTTTCTTTTTTTGGATCGGGGGGCTAAGTTTCCACTAGGTCCCCTCGCATAGGGGGCTTATGCGGGACCGGTCCGCTGATGAGTCACGTCATGTATAGTACTCGCCAATCTTTATGGAAGCTCTGAATGTGGCCGTCGGTACGAACTTACGCACGGTATAATCGGGTGGACATTTCATAAACAAGTTTTTTTTCCTACCTAGCTGAGAACCTTGAGAGGCTATTTCGACTTCACTGTAACGTGTGTAGGTGAGCTCACGGGGCTCAAATCTGACGATGTTGCTAACACGATCCCTAGCAGGAGCCGTGCTTCGCAGAATCTACCACCGGATCGAAAACGGAATATTTTGATTCAAAAATGTTGGTTTTAAAATTTAGCAAAAACTATACTTAAAATTAGAAGAAAAAAAACTGTTTGGCCCAAGGTCAAATTTTCATCTGCAATGTGGCCAGACTATCAAAATATTTGCCCACCTCTGACTTAGTTCTATTAATTTTCGTCTCGCAGAGCAGTCACTGGGTGGGGACGGTGTTGCTGACTTCGTGTCAGGTGATCGAGAGGCCAAGCAAAAAGGACGGCTTCTGCTTTAAGCTCTACCATCCGCTGGAGCAGAGTATCTGGGCGCCGAGGGGACCTCATAATGAAACTATAGGTGAGTGTGGCAATATCCGTCACGGGGTGTGTGACGAAAATGGGGTTCGCGGTAATGAAAAGCCACTGAGGCGTGGACCCTCCATGTAGGGTCATGGAGGGTGGGAGGGGAGGTAAGGAGGAGGGTGGCCTCGTCGTGTCTTGATGTCCGTGACCGCTTAACACCAGAGAGGCTGTGAGTCTGTCTGCTAATCTACAGCAATTGGCTGAGCGCTTAAATATCTAAAATATATTAATTCTAATAGAAAATTATATTCGTAAATATTATATATATTTTTACTGGTGGTAAGACGTCTTGTGAGTGTGCACGTGTAGGTACCACCGCCCTGCCTATTTCTGCCATGAAGGGGTGAAGCAGTCGTTGTACTGTAAAAATTGAGAGCTTAGAACTCGTGTCTCAAGATTGGTGGCGACGTTTACGTTGTAGATGTCCATGGGCTCCGGTAACCACTTAACGTTAAGTGGGGAGTGAGCTCGTCCACTCATATAAGCAATAAACAAAAAATACGCATTAATACTGACCCAGCAATGTAAAGCACGCCGCGTTATAAGGTGTCGTGGGTCGTTGACCTCTGACCGAGATGGTCCATGTTGTATCGACAGGTGCGGTGATCCAGCCATTGCCGACTGCCCACCTGATCTTCCGGGCCCCGTCCCAGGCCGCGGGACATTGCTGGCTGGATGGACTGGAATTGGCATTGAGATGCAGCAATGCTATGCTAAGGTAGATGCGGTTTCATTGCTGTTTTTTTTTTTTTCGGAGATGATCCCATGATCTTGGTCTGGTTTTTTTTTTCCTACCCATGCTAATGGCCTTGAGAGGCTATTTCATTTTTATTTTTGTTACGGAATTTCTTGTTTCGGTCGCCGCGCTCAAAGCCTGCGATATAAACTATGCAATGGCTCAATTTTTTTTCTATTGCTTAGTTGGGTGGACGAGCTCACGGCCCACCTGATGTTAAGTGGTTACCGGAGCCCATAGACATCTACAGCGTAAATGCCGCTACCCACCTTGAGATATGAGTTCAAATGTCTCAGTATAGTTACAACGGCTGCCCCACCCTTCAAACCGAAACGTATTACTGTTTCACGGCAGAAATAGGCAGGGTGGTGGTATCTAACCGTGCGGACTCACAAGAGATCCTACTAGTACCTACCAGTAATTACGCAAATTATAATTTTGCGGATATTGATTTTGATTACACGATGTTTTATTCCTTCACCGTGGAAAACTATCGTGAACATTTGTTAAGTACGTATTTCATTAGAAAAATTGGTACCCGTCTGTGGGATTCGAACACCGATGCATCGTTCGATACGAGTACACCGGACGTCTTATCCTTTAGGCCGCGACGACTTCAAAGTTTCGTCTAAGCGCGAACAGATGGCGTTAAATTCGTACTAGTAGTTTCATATAGTTGCCAATAGATGGCGTTACTCGTTGTTCTGCTTTTAGATGCTCTCGCTCGCGCCCAGAGGAAACTGTCGCATCCGAAGCCCCGGCCACCAGAACGAACATCTCCCATGAGGAACTCGAGAAACATTTCAACGAACATGGTGAGTCTTCTGGTCTGGGTCCAGATAGTATTCCTATTAATAGGTGTGAGGGGAGGGGGGGGGGGGGGGGGGAAGAAGAGATAGAGAACGAACTCACGATTGTGGGTAGATGTGTATTTGGCTTAAGTGACATTTTTGCAATTTACACGGAAACGATATCACACCAAAAAAATCTTCTTCAGTAATTTGAATGGAGTAAACTTGATTGAAGTTCAATTAAAAACATCGAACTGTTGAAGCTACAATAAAACGGATTTTTAATTATAAAGATAATTTAGTATCACGTATTAAGCGAAATGTCGCTTAAACCAAATATCTTTTCACCCCTCGATTTATTGCCTGTGCGAAAAAAAAAACAGATTTTTATAGTTTTTAATTTTAAAAAAATATTTAGTTATTTTTTAAACGGGTGATGTGGGTAGATATAATATATATATTGCCTTTATCTGAAGAAATTGATAATTTTAATACGGTGCAGCCGGTGTTAAGTGATCGCCGGAGTCCATAGACATCAATGGCGCGAACGCCACATTCAAACTCTACTTATTAATGGGTTAGTAGTCATTAGACAAATTTTGCACAATTCATATTTCATAACACGATTTTATTATCATAATCGTAGGAGTCATTCGTGAATATCAGTGGAGTTCTTGTTTAATTAGCAAAAAATTGTATCTGCCTACGGGATTCGAACCGCGGTCGGCTTGCATGATACGAATGCACGGGCCGTCTTATCCTTTAGGCCACGATGAATTTATTTTTATATCATGTTTTTTAATGTGTTTTTTTTTTTATTTAATTTATTTATTTGCACGTTTGTCTTTGACGCTACTGTGTTTTTTAAATACGCTAAAATAAACATACCTATATTTGTTAAATATATATTTTTTATTTCTATCGATTGCCATATCATTTGCCATGTTATGTCATTTTGTAAATTGTTAAAAATTTAATTCGAAAGCTTCTAAAATGGCGGCTCTGTCCTCGTGCGCGTCGCCGCTAATGTCAACGTCAGATTATTCTGTCAAAAGTGACAACTCGAATAAAAAATCGATTTCGAAATGGACGAAATTCTTCGAATCGATCGAGAACGTTCGCAACAACGAATCGAGCGATACCGATAACGAGAAACGAGACACGGGCTTATTAGATTTCATTTGGAAGAGAGAAACTGAATTACGAGGCGACGCTCCGTCTACATCGTCTATTAAGACGACACGAAAATCGACTAAAAAACTCGGCGTCACCAGTAAAAGCTTAGCATCGAGCCCGTATAGATTGGACGCGTTAAAAAAATCGCCTATATTAAAATGTTTCGATATAACGAAATCGAATAGTGGTAGGGACGTGAAGATGTCGCCTTCGCTCGACGACGGTCTGCTGAAGCTTGTGACGTCATCGAGGAAAAGGCGCAGCTCGACGCCCGGTAACATGCTAAGGCTGAACCGGAGTCCCGTATTCCGAAGGTCCGGGGCGAGAACCGATTCCGAGAACGAGGACGTTCCAAAGAGACTATTGTCTGATAAACGCTCCGAGATCCTCTGTGATACTCCGGACAATATCCTGATAACGCGTACAGCGCCATCTGTCGAGAGATTCGCGAGATGTTGCTCTTCGACTTCTGACGATGAATTCCAAAGGAATGGGTACGATTTTTTATTTTTTTATTTGGATCTTTTAATGGCGCGTCGGGTGTTCCCGCACGGGTTGCTACCCCAATTTTGCTTAATTATTCGGTTCCATGAGTCTACGCAACGAAAACGATATCAGAAACGATTCTATCACGTACAAGATAATCGAATGTTAAATCGATTTAATAAATAAATAAATCGATTAAATTTTAGCGACAACGTGTCTCGTTTCAATTCGACTCCCGAAAAATATTCGCTGATCGATTACGTGAATTCGCCGTCGGCGAATCTCGAGACGGTCACGAACGAGAAACGTTACGACCGTTTGATAGCGCATAACGTTTACGTAGCCGGAAAGATCGTGAACACCGGTGAGAATGAGCATTTTTGTAATACATTGCGGGCTGTGAAAAGTACTTTTTATTGGAACTACGACATCTTGTTTGACCCCAAACTATTAATAATCAGCCAAATCGACCGAATGTTAATGATAATTTGTCGTCGGTAAGTTACAACGAACCCGCAATGTATCGGTTTTGTTATGCATTGCGCGCCTTAATTTTCGGTACACGGCTAGTTCACAGCTACTGTTTGATATCTGAGCACAGTTTTAACGCTAGTGTGTCTAGTAGATGTCGAAGGTATTAAATAGACGTAAGCTAATTATTTTGCGGCAGTGATGGGTTCTATACTTTATTTTAAGTTACGGACGATCTCATAAACCTAATGTACCATTCTATTGTGGTGGGTAGCCATCATAGAACACACGATATTTGACAGATGCCTGAATCTCGCTTACGACATTTTCAAGGTAAGATTACATATATACAAGTTCGAAACAACAACATTCGGACCGTCGGTCTGACGAGCAATTTCACCCGCTCGGTGGAAGATTTTCCCTTTGTCGTTAAATCTTCACTATTGTCAATTTCCATGTTCGGTCGCAAGCAGACATCTGTAATCAAGCGAGATAATATATAATGATAGGTTTTGCTAAATTGGAACTCCCAAATTATCTATACAAATATGACGAATAGACGCTGGTTCCATGGTGTTTTTAGAATGATGACGTCAGCGGCGCTGACGCCGTTCTCTTCATCATTATCATTTTCTTCCATAGTGACAGTAATTAAAACTCAATTTTCCGACGAATTCCATTTATTGACTTTCAAGTGTACAGCGATAACAGCAGAGAGCTCCGTTTCGGTCGGTTGCTCGAGTCGGAATGTTTTTGCGATAATAGTCTCGTATTTATAGCAGAAAGTTGGGGTAAGTTAGTCATGAATTCTCTTGAATACCGTCTCAAACAGTTATTGACATGCGTAACATTAATTAAACACTTAAAGTTAGCTACTTTTTAGTTAACTAAATAGTGACGTTGCGCCGACAAATAAATAAAATGGAACTATCTGTTTTTAATATCAAAATAACTGCTTTTTAGTACATGCATATGAATGAATATACAGTACGAATAACAAAATAATATTTTTTACACTTTTTTGTCTGTCTGTCTGTTTCTTTGTTCCGGCTAATCTCTGGAACGGCTGGACCGATTTTAACGGGACTTTAACTGGCAGATAGTTGATTTAATAAAAAGTAACTTAGGCAAAGTTCTATTTTAGAAATACTCTAATAAACAAAAAGTGATATTTCGTTAAATTTCACGCGGACTAAGTCGCGTGCATGGCTAGTTAACAAATGAAATTGACATAAAATTAAGTCAGGGTAAATCAAAATATTGTTAATAGTACCTACATTGCAAGATAAGTGCTGTGTCTATTTTAAGGTTTTCTCTAGATAAAACGGTTTTCTGGAAGAGATCGCTTTTGGCGATAAGACCGCCTATGTTACAAATATACCTGCCGTTGACTGTTTTTGAATGTTAGTCGTATTTTGCAGTGCTATAAACTACATCATCTCTCTCTCTCACTCCCTTCCTCCCTCTCTCTCTTCCTCTCCCTCTCTCTCCCACCCTCTCCCTCTCTCTCCCACCCTCTCCCTCTCTCTCCCACCCTCTCCCTCTCTCTCCCACCCTCTCCCTCTCTCCCCCTCCCTCCCTCTCCCTCCCCCCTCTCTATCCCTCTCCCTCCCCCTCTCTCTCTCCCTCTCTCCCTCTCACTCCCCCTCTCTCTCTCCCTCTCTCCCTCTCCCTCCCCCTCTCTCTCTCCCTCTCCCTCCCTCTCCCTCCATCTCCCTACCTCTCTCTCACACTCTCTCTCCCATCTCCCCCTCCCCTACCCCCTCTCTCTCCTCCTGTCTCTCCCTTTCTCTCTCCCTTTCTCTCTCTCTCTCTCATTCATGTCTGAGAGACCGCATGATGTGTCCGAAGAAGCCCGTAACACGTTCTCGGCAGAAGTCAGAGAGCCCTTTCTCTATGTCTAGCTCTATTAAAATGGGACTCGTTAATTCTCATAAATTTCGAAAAAATCCCCAAAAATCTTTTATTTATTCACGCTTTAAATTTGGTGTGCGTGTGTGCAATAAAGTGCACTTTTTTTGTGGGTTCTTAGTAAATTCTGTCAACGCTTTTATCAGCTCTGATAAGATTAACACGTCGGATAACAGAATATCGCCGATAAGAGACACCTAAATGGCTTGTTTAAGTATTCAGATTACAATCACGAATTCGCATGTATCTATGTACGTATTAGAAATCGTCGCAGCCTAAAGGATAAGACGGGCGGCGCGCACGTAGCGAGCGATGCGATTGGGCCTAGGTTCGAATCCCGCAGGCGGGTACCGATTTTTTTGAAGTGAAACTTCTAATGAAACTTCCAAGATGGTTGCGTTAAACGTTCAACGCTCCTGGGGAGGGGGAATAGAAGGAGACAGAGCGAGAGTAAATGCGTGGCACTCGAACGCATGCGCGTAGTGTACCTGCTACAGGCCAGCGCGAGCGTTAGCAACGAGTAGCGACCAATATTTTAATAAAGTATTTAAAAAAATATACATATTTATTTTTATATCTGTTATTTAATACTCGAGGTCCCGGAGCAGTCGAAATTCGACTATAATTAATTGGAATTGTAAGTTTGTTGTACACATACTATAATCACAAATTTCGCCAAGACTACACTATAAAAAATATTAACAAAGACTTACAATATTTAATCTATTCTTAATTTGACAACAGACGCTAAGAACAAAAGTTTGACAATAAATAGTATGCATGCGTGTGTGCGTCAAATACATCGTATGTAGTGTGTGTAATGTTTTCTTTATTGATTTAATGTATATTTTATGCATTATTTAAAAAAAATATTAGCATTGTGCACTTCTTCTCTATATTCTCTATAAGTGTAGAAAATTTCATACTCCTCCGTCCGCGCAATTTTCGTAAAAAGGGATACAAAGTTTTTGCTTCACATA